CTAACCTTCCTGCATGCTGCATGTTTTCTCCGTCTTCCAGAAAAACTGTTTCCTAGATTTCTTACTTTCTAACTAATCAGACAAAGGGATCTACCGAACGCAAAAAAAAAAAAAAAAAAAAAAAAAAAAGCTTAATATGCGCTGCGCTCCAGCAGCAATGAGTTGAAATCACCGGGCGAGGGCACAGATTATGAACTCTCATGGACCTAATTTTCACTTTAGAAGTGTGTGTGTGTGTGTGTGTGTGTGTGGGGGGGGTGTCTTTACAGTACGCTCTAATGGGAAACCGGCTTCAACACAAATGGTTGTTTTCTGCTTGGTCCTAGAGCGCAACCAGTGTCAGTTTAATATAGCGTAATATTGTTTTTGGTTGGTAAAAAGTGCAGGGGTCAAAACTTGACTGGAAAAAGTGGTGGTGGTGGGGGGGGGGGGCATGTCCCCCCTCTCCCCCCCCTCCCCCCCCCCCCCAATTACGTCCATGTGAACTCAGATGAGGCAAAGCACGTCAGAAAAGTACAGAAAGTACAGGGAATATGGGCTGATATGAACGATTGCAAGTTAATTATTTTGTTTTGGTGGGGCGATTTTGTGAATATAACAGCGGCCGCGCGCAGGACACAGTTGGGAGTATTTGAGCCATTACCGCTGCGTCTTCTCTGGTCATAGAATGCCCGCAAAGCTGAGTCCATAAATTACGTAAAATATATAGATACCGGATCTTTATTTTGGGCTTTCCGCTATTTTAATTTTTAGGAAACCCACATCTTGATTCTGGGTTTAAAAATGCATTGTTATTACCGCGTTACTGACAGTTGTACCGAGTAAATATTACCATTTTCTTTCCCTGTAATGCCTTACATTACCACATTACAGCAAAAAGCAATGCAGTACAGTAATTAATTACTTTTGTACCGCGTTACTCCCAACACTGGTAGCAGCAACGAGTGTGGAACATTTTTTCAATCCTTCATAATAAGAATCTGTAACTTAAACCTTTAAACACTGGAAGCTAGTAAAAACAGTTCCTTCTGCAGCACCGACCACCAGGAACTCGGGTTTTGGACCCATCCAGAAATTTCCTACCTATTAAAGCCTGCTTTAAAGTACCATCACTCTTATGTCAATGACATAACCTGGGTACTGTAGGTTTTGATTCCTCCTTAAATAACATTAGTTGGTTCTTTTGGTAACACAACAAAAAGTTGTTTTTACCTTGTTTTTGCTGATGCTTCAACTGTCGCTGTAGTCTTCCTCAGAGCTTGGCTTTCAAAACGTCAGCAAAAACAAGGTAAAAGCAACTTTTTGCTGTGTTAAAAAATGAACCAATTAATGTAGTTACATGAAATAAACATAACCCTGAAAAGAGTCAACGTCACATGGACGTGCAGATCATGTCTATATTGAGTCCATGTTGTCGTTCTTTTTTTAAACACACAAACCGGCTGCCGTCGGCGAAACTGTAGCGTGAATAACAGGTTACAAAACCATTTGTGTGTTTTAAAAAAGAACGACAACATGGAATTAGAAATAACGCACAGCAAGAACACACCTAAGATGTCTATGTTGAGTCCATCAATCCAGACCACATCAGTAGGACGTCCAGACTCGGTCTTTGCACGGACAAAAGATCCTCTGTCAATTAATACTTGTGTTCTAAAAATGCCATTCAAACTTTTTCTCAATAATTCTCATTTCCTTCTGATTTTTATATTTTTTTCTGAGTGGTTTTAATACACCAACAATGAAAACAATGGCTTCAAAGGGTAATAATTGATTCCACAAATTTTTTTTTTGTGTATTTTGAACCTTCAGATGCTGGAGCTCAACATCAGTCAAACGAGTCAGCAGGACATCCCTGCAACTGCAGAGGGATCCGAAGAGCCCATTGAGACCCCTAAAGAGGTAGGTAAATCACCCCTTGTAGTAACAGCTGTTGTGTTGTAAAATTACAATTTTTGTGCTTCGGCAGAGCCCAAAGACAGGATGGTTCAGACAATGGTTTAGATCTAAAACCAGCGATGCCCAGAAGGAAACGATGGAGCAGAAAGCAGCTCAGACAGTAAGATTCCAGCTGATGTCAAACGTCACTTTAAAGCCAGTTTGGTCTGAGTGATGTAAGATGTTTGTGGGTGTCAGTCGTTGGATCCCTCCCCCTCGGCTGGCTTCTCTTCTCCCCCTCCACCTGCAGGCCCCCCTCCTGGTGCATTTCCATCAGCGCCCTCTGCTGCCGGGATAAATCCTTTCTCAAGGAAAGCAGGTGACCACACACACACACACACACACACACACACACACACACACACACACACACACACACACACACACACACACACACACACACACACACACACACACACACACACACACACACACACACACACACACACACACACACTAGCAGGAGCAGTGTCACCTCTGTGGTGCTGCAGTTTACACGTGTTGCATGTGACTGTGTCCAGTTCCAGTCATGATATGATGTTTCAGTTCTTTTGCGCTGAAATTTGAAACATTGAAAAAGTTAGCTGCCAACAGCGATGTTCAACCTTTATTTAGCTCAGTGAGTGTGTTTTTCACAGGCCAGCAGCTGGGGTAGGAGCGCTACCTCTAAAGCAGGTAAAGTTCCTGCAGGATGAACACATTTGGTTCCTTGGATGTAAATGAGCTCACTTTAAACTTCCATGTATGTTTCTAGGGCGATGCCGCTCTGAACCAGAATTCAGGACTTTCACGATTTAACCGAGCTTGGATGGACAACGCTGACGTTCTCGTTCGGGGGGTGCTCTTTCAGGCCCCCTGCAGAGGAGCCACCGTCAGGTTGAATGTAGGATACAGAAATACTTGCAACTCATATTCCGCCGACTAAGACAGCTGAGGTGTGCTTCCTAAAAGCTGATGGTGGGAAATTTCCAGGAGGTGCAGAACCTATTTGGGGAGGGGGATAGCTTTACTCACCGCAGTGACCATTTTTATACCAAGGATGCAGCTAGAGTCAGGGCTCACTCATGCACCCTAAATGGAGATTTCATTTCCTAACGTGTTTTTTCTTGCTTCCACAAACTTTTAACTAAAAATAAAAATCCACAAGCTTCACTGTGTGGACGTTTATCATCATTTATTTAAAACCATCTGCATTTATATTAATGCTTGTTGTGGTTATTACAAGCTGAGAGTTTCAGTCTCTGTGGATGTGGACTGAGTGATTTTGAATATTGTAAATGTGCAGATAATCTGAAAAGCAAGTTCTCATGCCGTCACTCTGCCAAAATGTAAGAATGCAAGTGTGGGGAACCTCAGGGAGAACAGGGAGGATCCTCTGACTGGCAAGTGACCAATAAGCTGTTTGCTTTCATTTGCCAACAGATATTTAAAGAGCCAAACTGTTTATGTGTTCATGATTTTTGCTGCTTTTATGTGGAAAAGCTATTTATTAGTCTTATATGACAGTATACAATATTCTGCTATAAACCACTTGTTTTTTATGTTTTGCTTCCAAACAGCCAGACTTTTGACTCTTCTATTTTTCTGATGCTAATTTTGTTTTTCACTCACTCATGGACGTAATTTTGGTGGGGACAGGGGGGGACATGTCCCCCCCCCCCCCCCCCCCCCCCACTTTTTCCAAAGTCAAGCTTTGACCCCTGCACTTTTTACCAACCAAAAACAATATTACGCTATATTAAATTGACACTGGTTGAGCTCTAGGACCAAGCAGAAAACAACCATTTGTGTTGAAGCCTGTTTCCCATTAGAACATACTGTAAAGATCCCCCCCCCCCCCCCCCCACTTCTAAAGTGAAAATTACGTCCTTGCACTCACTTCCTGTCCAGTTTTTGTAACCGAAACCGTATTGTAACCATTTCAGCGCTGTGGGCGGTGTGTGGTGAAAAAGTACAAGTTTTTTGTGTATCAGCCTGTTAAAGACATGAACAGCCATATTTGGCCACATTTAGCAACGGCTAAGATTTTCAACAATAAATATGTGTTATCAGATCCAAATAAAGATATTTGTAAATGTAAAACGAAATATGATACAGTAGTAGTAAACAAAATGCCCATCCGTCTACCCTAAAGCAGAAGTAACCAAACAATTACAGGGTTAGGAGACCCTGCATACAACAACCCTGTGAAGGTTACAGTGTGTGAGTTTGTCATAAAGCCGAGACCAGAGACAGGAACTCTGACGAGTGACCCATGTTTAAAGAAATCTCACCATCAAAGGGGCTTGGGCGTTAGTTAGGTGTTACCCTGATTATGATTGAGCAAGACTTCTGTTTAACAAAAATCTGAATTATATGTTAGCTAAATATTTGGATTTAGATTACAACTTTTAGATGTAGCTCTTTCAAAAATGATGTTTAACCTCTATTTTAATGAGTTTTAACGTGTTTACAATTGACAAATTGTCAAAAAATACAATTTAAAAGAGCGTTGGTCTTTTTATCAATCCAATCCAATCCAATCAATCAATCATCAATCAATCAATCACTCAATCAATCAATCAATCAATCAATCAATCAATCAATCAATCAATCAAAGCTTTATTAATATACAGCGCCTTCCACAACCCTTTCCGGGCACCCATGGTGCTAGAACACACTGTGAAAAGACATATAGTCATAAAAAGAGAAGTTAAAACGTAGAACATAAAACGTAGAGCATGAGGCTAAGGGATAAAACAATGGATAAAAGCGCCCTAACAAGAAATAAAACAGCAATTAAAAACAAGAACTAAAAATAACATAAAAGCAAACCGACTTCAAACATGTTCTGGAAACGCTAATCGACAAAAAAGAGTTTTTCAGTCGACTCTTAAAAACCGGCAAAGAGGCAGACTGAATAATGATCAGAATCAGACCACTTTAAAGAATTTACAAAAACAGTGGCTGCTTGGAAGCAAAATAACAAAAAGTGAAACATTTTTTGTTAACTCTATTGACTCATTTGCAAGACTACAATGATGCATAAAGTGTATGTGTTTGCATAGACGCTTGTATTCTAAGGAACAGGGTAAAATGTAATAATAATAATAATAATAATAATAATAATAATAATAATAACAACTTAAATTTTGTGTGTTTTTTTTTAATCATAAGATGCCATCATCTTCCCTCAGTGGTTGTTCTCTAGAAACTGTTTGATTTTGTTTTTCTTCTCTGGATTTAGAAAAATAATAAACACACATTCAATACATACAACCGCCAAAAAAGAGCTGTGATGCCAAAAGAGACGTTTCACTTAGAGTAGAGCGAGTGACAACATGGCAGGTGTTGGATCCTTTTACGATTAGTCTGCAGAAGCCAAGTGTGAGTGGCCAAGAATCCAGCGCACACGAACAATATACCAGTCACTGCATTCAGCCTGTCAGTAGTGTGCCAGTTCATTCACACCCAACACTGGATCATTTAAAGTCATCAGATTCCAAAAGCAGCACTCTGAAAAAGCTACTTGTTCATATTCTACATATAAATGTTAACTTTTTTATTCCTGCTCCACTACATACACTAAACACAAGCTGCTCTTATTTTCTAATTATAATTAAAAAAAATGTGACTTTTAACATTTGGATTCAAACAAATTAAAACCTGTACTTAGAAAATTGTATTTTATTGGTATTTGTGAAATCAATTGTCTTCTAAAATAATGTGCTAGCATCCCATATACAGGCATACAAAACAATGACAGTGTTATTACATACTTGCTATTTTATCCACTGGTTTAAATCCACATCTAACACACAGCCTTTGTATAATGTTCACTTTGATTCAAAGTGATAATCAAAAACAGTTATGATGGTAGATAATGTTAAAATATGGTAGTTTTGACCACATCAGAGAGGAATTTATGACTCTTCACCAACTGCAGCATTATACCGATAAAACACACATCATCCTGGGTGCAACTTTGCTTTTATGTCCTACATGTGAAAAGCATCAAAAACACTACAGTTTGTTGCTGCTGGTGTTTATGGGGTGCCATTTGTAAAGTCAAACAGTCATAATCAAACAGCAATATTTTTGGTTATTTAGCATATCATAAGAGAAAAAAATTGGGAGTTCAATTTTTCGAAGTCATATTTTCACCATGTTATTCATACATTTATAAATGTTAAAGTTTCCAAATAAATATTTAGTTAGCAAGCTAAATATTTAATTTGTAGTTAAATATTTATTTTGCAAACTAAATATTTAGGTCTGATCTAAATATTTAGTTTGTAAAAGAATTATTTAATTCACTAACTAAATATTCAATTTACTAATTAAATATTTATTTTGGAACTAAATATTTAATTTGTAAATAAAATATTTATTTTATTTATTCTTCTTCAGCCAACACGTCGGACATGTTCAGAAAAATAGAACCGGAGATAAAACAAGTTCTGGTTCGGAGCAAGAGTTTATAAAGAAGTTAGCGAGATCCAGCATTTATTTTGGTAACCAACTTCCGCTTATTGGCAAGCGAATCTGCATATTAGCTAAATGTTTAAGTACCAGCTAAATATTTATTTTCCACGATGTTATTTAGCTCCACACTATATTTTATATTTTTCGGTCAGACTTAAATATTTATTTCTCAAATACTGATTTTGCAAACTAAATGTTTAGCTCCAAAATAAATATTTAGCTGGGATCTGAATATTTATTTCGGAAAATAAATATTTAATTTACAAATTAAATATTTAGTTCAAAAATAAATATTTAATTAGTAAATTAAATATTTAGTTAGTGAATTAAATAATTATTTTACAAACTAAATATTTAGATCAGGCCTAAATATTTAGTTTGAAAAATAAATATTTAACTACAAATTAAATATTTAGCTTGCTAACTAAATATTTATTTGGAAACTTATAACATTTATAAATGTATGAATAACATGATGAAAATATGACTTCAAAAAAGTGAACTCCCAATTTTTTCTCTTATGGTATGCTAAATAACCAAAAATATTGCTGTTAGATTATGACAGTTTGACTTTACAAATGGCACCCCATAGATGATACATAATCTTGCATAAAAAGCATAGTTGTCTTCTGCATAATCAACATCGATGGAAGGGTAAAAGCTTTTTAAGTAATTTTTTTGTAAATAGCTCTGAAAATGTTGAGCCCTTTTAAGGCTGCATCGACAGACACTGATCTTGGCTGAACTCCTTACAGTTAGGCCATCAGTGACCTCAGAGGAAATTAAGATGATAGTTATGATAGATGCACAAAACATAATTTATAATGGCAGAAAATCTCTTTGAATTAACTTAATTACCTGATTTGGTCAGAGATGCTCCTTTAAAGGAAAGTCACGGAATCAGAAACCAAAAATATTCCTTAATACCTAAAATGCAAAGAAGACAACCTGTGCGTGTCATCAATTGCATTACAGTTGTGGACAGAACTGTTGGTACCCTGTAGTCAGTGAAAAAAAACAACACAATGGTCACAGAAATAACTTGAATCTGACAAAAGTAATAATAAAATTTCTTCGTCTTCGTCTTCGTCTTCCTCCGCTTATCCGGGTCCGGGTCGCGGGGGCAGCATCCCAACTAGGGAGCTCCAGGCCGTCCTCTCCCCAGCCTTGTCCACCAGCTCCTCCGGCAGGACCCCAAGGCGTTCCCGGACCAGATTGGAGATGTAACCTCTCCAACGTGTCCTGGGTCGACCCGGGGGCCTTCTGCCGGCAGGACATGCCCGAAACACCTCCCCGGGGAGGCGTCCAGGAGGCATCCTGACCAGATGCCCAAACCACCTCAACTGGCTCCTTTCGATCCGGAGGAGCAGCGGTTCTACTCCGAGTCCCTCCCCAATGTCCGAGCTCCTCACCCTATCTCTAAGGCTGAGCCCGGCCACCCTACGGAGGAAACTCATTTCTCCTCCTTGAACCGTCACCTTATCGTGGTGGAGGAGTTTGAGTGCCCTAATGATCCTAGGAGCTATGTTGTCTGGGGCACTTAGTGCCCCTGGTAGGGTCTCCCATGACAAATTGGTCTTAGGTGAAGGGTGAGACAAAGAACGGTTCGAAGGATCTTTCATGGCGGTTAAAACGAAGAGTCGGAGTACCCGGCCCGGAGGGTTACCGGGGTCCCACCCTGGAGCCAGGCCTGGGGTTGGGGCCCGTGAGCGAGCGCCTGGTGGCCGGGCTTTCGCCCATGGGGCCCGGCCGGGCCCAGCCCGAACCGGATACATGGGCTCGTCCAACTGTGGACCCACCACCCGCAGGAGGAACATGAAGGGTCCGGTGCAATGCGAATCGGGTGGCAGACCAAGGCGGGAGCCTTGGCGGTCCAATCCCCGGACAAGAAAACTAGTAATAAAATTTCTATGAAATTTTAACCAATGAAAGTCAGACAATGCTTTTCAACCAAGCTTCAGCAAAATTATAAAAAAAAAAAAAAATAAAATCATGGAAATGGCCTGAACCAAAATGATGGTGCCCCTGTCGGTACAAGATCTGCTCAGGTGTAAGATCGGCTCGGGTTCCGTCGACTGCCCATGACGTCAAAGTAGTTGATTGGCTGAACATGAACCTTACGGAATTACGTAATCATGTTACGTTGTTATCATGTTACGTTGTTATCACGTTACGTTGGTCCAGGCAAATCTTTCTGTTGGAAAGATGGAAAACTTTTACAAAGAAATCCATCATTAACTCTTTGAAAATACACTTTTAGCATAGAGCTGCATGTATATTAGGGCTGAACGATTAACTGCATGTGCAATTAAATTGCGATGTGACAAAAGGAGATTTTCTAATCGTAAAGGCTGCAATTTGGCAGCGAGTGGTTAGCGCAATGCTAATATACGTGGAAAAACCCATAGGAATGCTAATGCTAATATCACCAAATACATTCTTACAAATTATGAATTGGAAACGTGTGAAATGATTACATTTGGAGTCTAATAGAAAGTAAAACTACCATCAATCAAATAAGTACAGACAGGTATTTTAGTAAAGCCAGAAAACTTTTAACTCCAGAGTTTTGGCTAGCAGCTATGAGCGTAACTGAACTACGCATGGACAAGACGTCAAAAACTCTAAACACAAAATACTTCAATAAACGGGACACACTTCTTTCCTGCAAATACATTTCACAGGTGTTGCTAATACCTATGATCCTTCAAGGGATGTGCTCAAAGAGGAGTTCAACTTTATGAATACAATATAGTGTTTTATTTTACAAATACCATTATAAACACAAACTTACATCTTAAGAAACATTATTTTAATAACGAAACTGCTAAATTCTTTCCAACAGTATAGATGTGTAGTGTATTTTGTCCGAGTGGGTTTGCCGTACTTTGACGTCATCGGCAGTCGAAGGACCCCGAGCCGATCTTGCACCCGAGCAGATCCTGTACCGACACCCCTAGAAGTGACTGTGACTTCAGGTAGTTGTTTGGTGACACGGTGTTTGCTGAACTCAACATGGACCAGAGGAAGTGAAAGAAAGAGTTGTCACAGGAGATTAGAAATAAAATGATAGACAATCATGTTAAAAGTAAAGGTTATAAGACCATCTCCAAACAGCTAGCTGCCCCTGTGACTACAGTTGCACATATTATTCAGAAATTTCAGATCCATGGGACTGTAGACAACCTCCCTGGATGTGCCCACAGGAGGAAAAATTGATAGTAAATCAAAGAGATGAATAATCGAAATGGTAATAAAAGAGCCCAGAAAAACATCTAAAGAGATCCAATGTGAACTTCAAGCTCAAGGAACATCACTGTCAGATTTCACTATTCATCCTTGTTTGAGCCCAAGTGGGCTACATGGGAGACGACCAATGAGGACACCACTGTTGAAAGCAAATCATAAAAAAGCCAGACTGGAATATGCCAGTCTACATGTTGACAAGCCACAAAGTTTCTGGAAGAATGTCCTATGGACAGCTGAGACAGAAATGGAACTTTTTGCCAAGGCACATCAGCTCCATGTTCACAGACAGTAAAATGAAGCATATCAAGAAAAGAACACTGTCCCTACTGTGAAACATGGAGTAGGCTCTGTTATGTTCTGGGGCTGCTTTGCTGCATCTGGCACAGGGTGTCTTGAATGTGAGCAGGGTACAACGACATCTCAAGACTATCAAGGGATTCTACAGAGAAATGTACTGGCCAGTGTCAGAAAGCTTGGTCTCAGCTGCAGGTCATGGGTCTTGCAACAGGACAATGACCCAAAACACACACCTAAACACACCCAAGAAAGGCTAAGATGAAAACATTGGACTATTCTAAAGTGACCTTCTATGAGCCCTGACCTCAGTCCTATTGAGCATCTTTGGAAGGAGCTGAAACGTGTCGTCTGGAAAAGGCACCCTTCAAGCCTGACACCACTGGAGCAGTTTGCTCAGAGGAGTGGGCCAAAATACCTGCTGAGAGGTGCAGAAGTCTCATTGGCAGTTACATGAATAGATTGCCTCAAAAGGTTTTGCAACTAAATATTAAAGTTTGGGTACCATAATTTTTGTCCGGGCCTGTTCCATGAGTTTATTTTTTTTTATTATTCATTTGAAGCATGGTTGAAAAGCAAAGTCTGACTTTAATTGATAAAATTTAATTCAATTTTTATTTATTATTACTTTTGCTGATATTTCACCCCATAATGTTGTCTAATAAAATTAGAATACAAAAGCTATTAAACTCAGCACCATAGAGAAGAAAGGGAGAGTTTTTAACTCAACATACATATTTATAAATAAATTGTGGTGCCCCCTGACCCGAGTTGGGCCTGTTGTCTTTGACACTATCCAGAGCTACGGAGCAGACGACACGTTGTGGTAGATCACTGCCCGTCTTTAATCAAGTTCACACACTTTTTTCTTTGTGTTCGATCACATGCTGTGCAAGCTTTGTGGCACACAGGAACGATTTGTCACACTGCACACAAACGAAAATCCTCCCAGCACAAGTCTGCTCCTGGTGAAGCTTCAGCTGAGCCAGGTGGCTGAAGTTTTTGCTGCAGCCGATGCAGCTGTGGGGTTTCTGATTGTTGTGGATAAACTGGTGACGAACCAGACGGGAGGCCATGGCGAACGCCAAGCCACAGTCGGTGCACTTATAAGGGCGCACTCCGCTGTGAATGGCCTCGTGCTCTGTTAGGTTGGAAGATTTTGTGAAACACTTGGAGCACACGGAGCAAATGTACGGGCGCACTCCCATGTGGATTTTTTGGTGCTCTGCCATGCGACTGGCAAGGGCAAATGCTTTTCCACAGTCGGGGCAGGAGAAGGGCCTCTCCCCCAGGTGCTTCCTCTCATGGCGCTTCAGGGAGAGGGGCTTGTTGAAAGTCTTGCCGCAGTGTGTGCAGGGGAACGGTTTGTTGTTGGTGTGCATGTTTCTTTCATGCTTCCGCAGATCAGAGGAGCGGATAAAATCCTTCCCACAAGTGTCACAGGTGTAGGGCTTCTCACCCGTGTGCGTGCGGATATGCTTGCGGTAATCTGAGGACCAGATGTATGTCTTAGCGCAGAAAGGACAGTGATACGGCCTCTCACCAGTGTGCAGACGCTTGTGCTGCTGCAGCGTGCCCTGATGCGAGTAAGCCTTGCCACATATATCACACACATGTGGCTTGAGGCCCGTGTGGGTTTGTAAGTGACTCTGTAAGTTGCAGAGCTTCTTGAAAGCCCATTGGCAATGTGTACATTTGAAGGGACGATCCTCAGTGTCGATCAATCCCCGTCTTTTCATGGCCACCAAAAACTGAGAGACTTTGTCTTCTTTGCTTTTTTTGGGACAGTTCTTATCAGACGGGCTTTTTCCATTTCGGATTTTGGTCTCGCTTATATTTTTGTTTGCAGAGCACTTCTCAGGATTTAAGTCTTTGAGATTAGGAGTCCTCTTTTGGCCCAAAACTTCATTTTGGCTCTTTATGTGTGAGATGGAGCTTCTTTCCTTCTGATTTGAAGTCTCGTTATTATCGGCAAAAACGGTGTTGGTCTTGGCTCCAGAGTCGTCTTGCTTGTCACTTGCTTCTAATTCCTCTGCAGGTGAAAGCTGAGCAAACTTTGACACCAGAGACCAGTTTGGCGTTAGAGGGTTCAGGTAGTGGATTCCATTATCACAGTTCTCTGTTGGTGAGCCCACATCTATTCCAACTTCGCCAAGTATAGAGTCACTTTTCACAATGTGACTTTTGGCTTTCATGAGTCCATCTGTCAGGAAATCAAGTCTTTCTTCGCATGTCCTTGTACCTCTTTTCCCAACAGCTGTTCTGTTAGACATCTGCAGGATAACAGAAAATTTTTTTATTTTACTACTCTGGCACACAGACCATGAGTGAACCAGTTCACCGCAGCATGAATCATTATCTTTGCAATGTGAAATGACCCCCTGAATAAAACCTTAACAAAAACACATTTCTACAAAAATAAAATGCACATTGGATTCTAGTTTAATACATCTCATTGAGTAACGTACCCTTCAGTCTTTATTCAGGCAGGTCAAGTCCAACAGATGCCACAGAGATATACTAACCTGAGGTCTTGACTGACTTTGGGAAAGACGTCTGGCGGACTTTGTGGGCGGAGTTTGGCAGCAGCCGTCTCCGGGTCAGCATCTATCCTGCAAGTCAGCAGCAGCAAGGCAGGCTCACTTTACCTCCTTGTCACTCAGCTCACCAGCTGTTTGCACAACCTTTTTAGTCACACGCCATTCAGACACATAAACCTTTAACTTTACAGTGGTTAACTACAAGACAGAGCATCCCACTGACTGATTTTTAAAAGAAATCCACAACAAAAAATAATGAAAAATAAAAAACAAATTAAAAATATCCCACAAAATCCTGTCTCACATTACCAAAATACTGAGAGGAATCTTTAGTGAACCGGAGAGACAAAACGGCAACTTTGTGAAAGTTTACATTTCATTTTATTATGTAATTTGAAACATCTCTGGTTTATTTGCTGTCTGTTTGTTTTAGGAATGGCTCATATGGCTTATGATTGGCATCTTATTGGGGGCAGTATGACAAATCAAGCAGTTATTTCCAGTTATAATGTTAATTACAGCAGCCTTGAATCTTATGGTGCATTATATCTATTCATTACAGACAGAGGAATCAAATTCAGAATGGAGGAAAGCAGCATAGCTATTTATTAAGGTGCTTTGCTTTTATCAGTTAGGTCTTTATCTCTTTTTGACAGGTACCAGTCATTAGTTCTGCTTTATTAGATCAGTTTTAGAGCATCCATCCATTTTCTTTGCCCGCTTATCCACACAGGGTTGCAGGGGCCCATCTCCAGTCTCTGGGCAAGCAGGCGAGTTACACCCTTGACAGGTTTCCAGGGCAAGTCAGACACACAGGACTAACAAGCATGCACACACAGACTCACACTTAAGCACAATTTAGAGAATCCTGTCAACCTGACATGATATTTTTGGGCTGTGGGAGGAGCCAGTGCACCCAGAGGGAGCCCACGTGCACGGGGGAGCATGCTGGTTTCTTGCAGGGAGGTAAATTCAGGACCTCCTTGCTGCCAGGCAACATCACTAACCACTGCACCACTGTGACGCCCAGTTTTAGAACATTTCAATCAATTTCAAGGTCAATGGCTGCAAACTCCCCTCCATACAGGACCTTTACACCTCCAGGACAGTGACTCGCTCCCATCTGGCAGGAGGTTCCGATCCATTCGGACCAGAACCTTTCACTGCAAGAACAGTTTCTTCCCTTCTGCAGTTGGACTCATGAATAACAATCCTAGAGCCCTAGGATTCTAATCACTTGGTTTTAGTCACAAGACCCTGGGTTGTTTGTACCTGTACTGACCCACTCTGATTAGTACATACACTCTAATTGTTGCCAATTTATATTATTATTTTATCATGATTATAATCTTACTTCCTATATTTGCTTATCTCTTATTTTTATCTTTCTCTTTGCACCAAGTACTGCAGCAATTTCCTAATGTGGTGATTTCTCTCATGTATGGCAATAAAACCCTTCTGATTCTGAAACCTAATTTGAAATATTAAGCAGTTCATGTAAAAACCACTAGATGTCGCTATGCCACCATTGTTTATCTGAGCGGCTAACTGGAAAAAATCAGATTTTATTTGGCCAATGGAAATTTGAATAATTAACTCCTCTAATTGAGGAAATATGTGTTGCTGTCCTCAATCCTCAACACTCCATCGTTCCACATACGTGACAGATTATATGCTGAACACATTTATCAAAAGTGTGTATAAATTTTGTCTAATTTTAGCACTAAATTACTTATATACAGCATGTTCTGTGATGTTATTGAAAATGCAGGTTCCTTTACACTAATTAATCTCAGTTCAAATGATCTGACAGTGGGAAAGGACTTTAGTTTTTTGTGTGTGGTTGTCAACTGAAAGCTGTCACAATATGGCTGTTGAGGATGAGGTGACCTTACGTAATGTCCTCACAGTGACGTTAAATGTGAACCTGGGTGCAGAAGCTACACCAACAAATATCTGAGGAGCGTCACCCAAAATCCCATTTGGGATTCACAAGGTTGTTGTTTAGTTTGCGTTTTTACCAAACCACCATAAGGAACTTTGTGAACTCGCAAAAGACAAAAGAAGAAATAGTTTAAGGTGAATTCAAGAACTTCAAACTGTACTTTCATAATGATGCAGACTGAATCAAGTTTGAATGTAACTGAAAAGAGTTCAGTTATAAAAAAAAAAAGCTGCATAATCTGTGTAAGCTTTGCTCAGACTTTGGGCATGAATGATTATTGTATTCACTCATTTTAGTCACTCTCTCAAACTGCACAGCAAAACTGCTGAGTCATTCTTGGGTTTCATTGATTTCACGGAGGAGTAGACAGTCTTAATTCAGAACGTAACGGACGTGGGAATTTTCCATGGGCCTCCGATCCCTCAAGGATTTTTTTTTCTTCCCAAATTCTACCCTAAGGGCCATAATCCCATGTAACACCACTTCATTTTAAGTTGAGGCATATTTAACCATTAGTCAAAGATAACACAAGTAAACACAAAATGCAGGTTTGAAATTATGGTTTTTATTATTTAGTGAGAGAATTGAATCCAAACCTACATTGCCCTGTGTGAAAAAGTAATTGCCCCCCCCCCCCCTGTTAAAAAATAATCCAACTGTGGTGTTTCACACCTGAGTTCAATTTCTGTAGCCACCCCCAAGCCTGATTACTGCCACACCTGTTTCAATCAAGAAATCACTTAAATATGAGCTGCCTGACACAGAGAAGTAGACCAAAAGCACCTCAAAAGCTAGACATCATGTCAAGATCCAAAGAAATTCAAGAACAAATGAGAACAAAAGTAATTGAGATCTATCAGTCTGGTAAAGGTTATAAAGCCATTTCTAAAGCTTTGGGACTCAAGCGAACCACAGTGAGAGCCATTATCCACAAATGGCAACAACATGGAACAGTGGTGAACCTTCCCAGGAGTGGGTGGCCGACCAAAATTACCCCAAGAGCGCAGAGACAACTCATCCGAGAGGTCACAAAAGACCCCAGGACACATTCTAAAGAACTGCAGGACTCACTTGCCTCAATTAAGGTCAGTGTTCACGACTCCACCATGAGTAAGACACTGGGCAAAAATGGCCTGCATGGCAGATTTCCAAGACTCAAACCACTGTTAAGCAAAAAGAACATTAGGGCTCGTCTCAATTTTGCTAAGAAACATCTCAATAATTGCCAAGACTTTTGGGAAAATACCTTGTGAACTGATTAGACAAAAGTTGAACTTTTTGGAAGGCAAATGTCCCGTTACATCGGGTGTAGAAGTAACACAGCATTTCAGAGAAGACAGAGCAGACACACACACACACACACACACACACACACACACACACACACACACACACACACACACACACACACACACACACACACACACACACACACACACACACACACACACACACACACACACACACACACACACACACACACACACACACACACACACACACACACACACACACACACACACACACACACACACACACACACACACACACACACACACACACACACACACACACACACACACACACACACACACACACACACACACACACACACACACACACACACACACACACACACACACACACACACACACACACACACACACACACACACACACACACACACACACACACACACACACACACACACACACACACACACACACACACACACACACACACACACACACACACACACACACACACACACACTAATGTGTCTATAGTTATATTGTGATTTCTTAGTAAATATTCTATTTGGTGAGAGATAAACTTTATTTTATTTATCCTAGTGGGTCTATAATTAAAAGGATAAACTAGCAGTAGCACATCCAACGTCAAGGAAAGCAAAAGGTTATTATCAGGAGAGGGAGAATGTTTAAGTGGTTAGCAGCAGTGTGCTAGACGATGGCCCCCTCCATGAGGCCACCACAACTCAGCAGAACATCACTGTAGCTTCTTCTGGGGAGAAAAACACTTAGAGAGAAATTAAAGTTAACAACTGAAATAGCAGAAACTAATACAGTTAAAGAGCAGACTGTAAAAGAAAGTAGTAGAGTGTGAAAAGTGGTCAGTGCATCCTAAAGCAGTCTAAGCCTATAGCAGCATAACTACAGAGATACCTGGATAATCTATCCTATTTAGATGGAGGCATGTTGGAGGCAGGGCAATGGAGAGCCGTCTTTACCGACTGTACACTCCACCTCCCTCTACTCCCCCACTTGTCCAGATTTAGGCTAACATCAGATTTTAACCATAGGCCCTATCAAATAAAAATGTTTTAAGCCTAGTCTTAAAAGTAGACAAGGTGTCTGCCTCACAGACTAAGGCTGGGAGTTGGTTCCACAGGAGAGGAGCCTGATAACTAAAAGATCTGCCTCCCATCCTAATTTTAGATATTCTGGGAACCACCAGTAAACCTGAAGTCTGAGAGCAAAGTGCTCGGTTAGGAACGTATGGAACAATCAGATCACTGATGTATGATGGAGCTTGATTATTAAGAGCTTTATATGTGAGAAGAAGGATCTTAAAATCTATTCTGAATTTAACAGGTAGCCAATGTAGGGAAACTAAGACAGGAGAGATATGATCTCTCTTTTTAATTCTCATCAGAACTCTAGCTGCAGCATTTTGGACAAGCTGAAGACTTTTAACTACATTCTGTGGACTTCCTGAGAGTAATGAATTAAAGTAATCCAGTCTTGATGTATTAAATGCATGAACTCGTTTTTCAGCATCACTCATGGAAAGTATGCTTCTAATCTTAGCAATATTCCGAAGGTGGAAAAAGGAAATCCTGCAAACCTGTTTAACCTGGGATTTGAATGACATGTCCTGGTCAAAGATAACACCAAGGTTCCTTACTTTGTTCTCTGAGATTAATGTAATGCCATTCAGGTCAGGTGATTGACTAAGCAATTTCCTTTTCTGGATTTCTGGTCCAAAGATGAGAACTTCCGTCTTGTCTTGATTTAAAAGCAAAAAGTTTAGAGTCATCCAATTTTCTATG